AGAAGCTGCTATCTCTTGGTCTACATAGGAAACAACAGCTCAGGAAAATTGTTATGAAATTTTGTGTATAAGAGTTACCTATGAAACTTGTTATTAATGTGGCTTCCAGGGACCCACTCCATGAGAGTCACATAGTATCCTGGTACAAGTATAATTTGAGAACTGCTTTCTTAATGCAAAGTTTCTTAATTTTCTGAATGCCAGGTATTTGGGAGAATCTTTCCTATTCACATATTAATTTTGATATGGTATCTAACTTTGGCAGTTTTACTTATGATCTTTAGCTTAAATGCTCCTTCACAGATAATTAAAGTAGATGATATCAGTGAGAGAACAAAAAGAAAGCCAGTTAGGACTGAAGCAGGAGAGAGATCAACCAAGGAGTGAGGAATAAAAACCCATTGAATTTGACTAACAGGACAGTCAAATTCATGTGTATATATTATACATGTAAGGAGAGAGAGGGAAGGAGGGGGAGAGAGAGAGAACAATCAATCAGTCTGTAAATGAGAGGGTTCCCACAAAAACTGGAATTTACTTGTAAAGAATTGTGTATTTACACTTATGCGTTTAGATTTTAGTCACCTTCACAGTATTCTCCGTTTGATGCAATACACCTATTGAGATGCTTTCCCCAAGGCTCAAAACAGTTTTTGAACTCAACAGTTTTGATACCTTTTATGTGGTTTTTCTATTTTTTGTTTCACCTCTTCCATATCAGCAAAACGTTTCCCTCTCCGAACTTTTTTCATTCGGGGAAACAAACAAAAAAAGGTGCTTGGGGTGAGAGCTAGTGAATGGGGGTGGGGAATAAGATCTGTTATTTAGGGGTAGGGGGTGAGATTAGGTGAATAGACAGAGTGGGGCACTGGACCCACGTCGTTTGTGGTCAAAAACTGCTGAACGTTCGCACAGTGAGGGCAGGTGCTTTGTCAAGGTGGAAGAACCAGTCACCTGTTTGCTACAGCTCGGGATGTTTCTTCTGCAAATCAGAATCCTTCTCAAAACTTTCTGATAAAAACCTTGGTTGAGTGCTTGATCTGGAGGACCAAATTCTGAGTGTAATACAAGGGATCCATCCTCCAAAAAAAATTCAGTTTTTTGAAGGGGCCCCACTTATGAGTGAATGTGTATATACTATATTTATATAAGGAAAGAGAGAGCAATCAGTCTGTGTGTGTCTATATATATAGACACACATATACACACACACATGTATAGTGGGTATGTGTATATTTATATAATATATATATATGCATAGAAAGAGAGAGAGAGAGAGAGAGAGAGAGAGAGAGAGAAATCAGTCTGAGAGAGAGAGAGAAATCAGTCTGTATATGTTTGAAGTCCAAAGAGGACTTCAGAGGAAATAAAGATGTTTGAAAGAAAGGAAAGAATCAGGACAAAATGTAATATTTGCTTCTATTCCATCCTGCGGCCACTAAAATGAGTGTGAAAGAATTTTCAAAAGCATAATCCAGCCATTGCCTTGCTAACCTATGGTGTGACCATGTACTCTTTGAGCTATGGCCAGGCCATGTTTTCTTAGGCTTTGGCCCCCTCCCCTACCTTGGGTAGGTGAATCTCCTCTTTCTTTCTCTCGCTCTAATTTACTTTCTAAATAAACTATATTTTCTTATCTAACTTCTGTGCAATGCTTTGCATCTTTCAGAAGGCATCGGATCACACACCAGACACCCCAACCCCCAGCGGGCCTGACCTAACATTCTGGAGGCCCCGCTGGGAGTGTGACCCTAACATTTTTGAAGGTCCCACCTAGACATGCCAATCTTGCTCTCTCTCATTCTCCTCTTTCACCAAGATCTGCTGCTCTCACCCTCTTTCTCTCACTCTTCTTTTTTCCAACCCTAGTATCTAAATAAGGTGCTTGGCTATCTTCTCTGCTACTTGCTCTTTCTTAATCTTGTTGCCTATAACAAGGTACATCGAATGGACCTATCCCTGTCGCCTCAACTTTGTCCAGGATGAAACTACACCTTCACTGATGAGGACGCCGAGGCACAGACAGGTGAAGTCACACTGCCCAAGGTCACATCGCTACCCATTCAGGCTTCCAAGTCCTGTTGTCTGGACCAAGAAAAAAAGAAAAGAAAAGAAAAAGCATAATCCAAAAAGGACAAATAAAACTGGGGTGTAGGTGCCAAAGAAATATCAGCTACATTTTAGAAACTCTGAAACATATGGGCAAGTGTTGACTAGCTTTGCGCACTAGGAAACGCGGAAATCTGCCTGCAAAGTGAAAGAAGCCAGTAAGCAAACTGATTCATGAAGAATAATTTGAGATTCTCAGAAATTAGAAGATTTGAGAGTAGAAGTGGGGTAGAAGTAAATGAAATCAGGAGAAACAGTTCAAAGAATGGATTATAGGCAGAAAGACCAGACAATAAAGGGGGAACAATCTGATTTACAGGAGTCCTGGGAAGAGAGATGAGAGGAGACTGGAAAGAAGAGAAAACATTACAAAAATAAAGAGCTAAAGGCCATGGTATCCCTAGTAGAAAGGCCCATGGCATCCTAGTGCAACAGATGTAAAAAGATCAACACTATGAGAAATATGAGAAGCCAGGCTGGGTGGCTCAGCCTGTAATCCCGTGCCTTGGGAGGCTGAGGTGAGTGGATTGCCTGAGCCTGCGGGTTCGAGACCCGCCTGGGCAACTTGGCAAGACCTCGTCTCTACAATAAATCAAAAAAAATTAGCCGGGCGTGGTAGTGCGCGCCTGTAATTCCAGCTACTTGGAAGGCTGAGGCGGAAGGATCGCCGGAGCCCAGCAGGTCGAGGCTGCGGTGGCCGGGAGCGGCCACTGCACTCCAGTTTAGGTGCCAGAGTGAGACTACAACTCAAAAAAAAAAAAAAAAGAGAGAGAAATATGAGAAAGTTCTAAAACACAAAGATTAAAGAGGGAATTCTAAATGCATAGTCTCAGGAGTTGGATGGTATCAAATTGGTTACATCCAAAACTTCAAAATTAGAAGGCATCACATTTCTCAGTAGCTATACTGGAAATTTGAAAACAATGGAAAATACCTTCAAAATTCTAAAGCAGTTAACTTTCAATCTAGAGTTATATTCTTCCATCATTTATGTGTGAAGTCTGAATAATAACATTTTCAAACATACAAGACAAAATTTGACTTTGAATTCTTCAAGAAAGTTAGAGAGAATATGTTTCAGCAACACGTCAGAGTAATCCCACATAGACGCAGGACCTGGGAAACTGAAGTTCTATGCAGGTGGGGGCCATGTGGATGCCCCAGGATGATGATGAGACAAAGCTTCAGCATGCCAAGGGGGCCATGGAAGACATCTTTGGTTTTTAAAAAACTCAAGCAAAAACAAAACAAAAAAACAACACAAACTGATGAAAATGAACAAGTTTCACTATATTGAGAGGAGTATAAAAATTCCTGCAGAAAGTTTGGTTAAAAAACTAATGAAACTAAAATAAAAATCTAAGGTGATGGAAATTTGATATTCTTTAATCACAAAAGTAACAATAGAATTGCAGAAAGAAAGAGAAAAGGAAAGAAAAAGGAAAGAAACAAAGAGGCAGGGAGAGACAGAAGGGGAGGAGGTTAGAAAGACAAACATATGCTATGTGGCTCAGTAGTGAAAAATATTTTCCTAATAATAATAATGGAAAGACATTATTATTATTTAACCAAAAATTGTGGTATAATTATTTTGGGAAAATGGAGGGCAAATGATCAGAGGGTTGTTGGCAAAATGTGGTGTACAAATATCTCAATTGTGGAACCAAAGAGAAGAAAGCTAAAATCCTCATCTTGTCTAAAATTAACAGATATTGCCTAAAACCAAAGATATCAATAAAGAAGAGTTCACAAATATTGTCTTGCAGCAACTTGGATGGATTTAGAGTCTGTCATACTCGGTGGTCTATCACAGAAACAAAGAACTAAATACTACATGTTCTCACTCATAAGTAGACCTTGAACATTTATCATATCACTATAAGAAAGGCATTGGCAGTAGCAGGACACTGCTAGGGGAGAGAAGGGGAGGGATGCATAACATCACTAAGCGTACCTGTTCCTAAACCAGGTGAAGTGAGGACAAAAGGGAGGACCAAACTCCACCTGTATGTAGAGCACTTATGTACCTAATCCTGACCTGTACCCATATCTTTAAAATATAAAAAAAAGAAACATAAAGGTAAAAACTAGAAGAAACAGCAAAAGGTTTAAAATAATTTTCTCTGGGGATACAGAACTGGCAAAGATCAAGGAATGATGTTTTTATCATAATTGTTTTTTAAAATGACTATAAAATATGGACACGGCTCACTCTGACAAACATCAAAATTAAAAAATCAATTTAAAAGAAAGTATATTACAAAATACATGCATTTATGCCAAAATAAACTATGGTTTAGAAATATATATATATTTAAACTTTGTATGTTTTGAATAAGTTTGATATGGATCTAAAAATATTAGCTTAATTATATTCTGTATAATTATAGACCATAAAACTATTTTTTCATCTTGCCACAGTTACCCTTTCCCAGAAGATGTTAGGTACTTGCTCATTTTAATATCATATGTTAACCTGTCAGGTTAAAGGAGCATCCCCTGAACTACATGAGGTAGTTATATTGAAGTCATATATCCATATTTCTTCAAGCTTGGATTTTGGACTAATCAAGCCCAGAGGAACTGCTGGTAATTCAGCGTGTTCCAAACGCAGGTCTCAAGACAGTGGGTGTGGTGACAAGGGCCATGATGCAAGAGGAATGTCAAATACACCAGGCAAGAGTCTCTGAGAATTCAGATAGCAGTAGCGTGCTAGAAAACTTCATACATAACGATTTATGAACCTTTCTCAAAATGATTTTCATTTTTAATGAATATTTTATCTCACTAATCGCTCAATATTTTTAAATGGTCAACACAATTAAAAAAGTAACAATCTTGCAATTTTCTCCGTTCCTTCCCTCCAAAAGTACAATTTGATGTTTCCATACCTCTCTATAGCCGTCACTGATTCTCTCCAAGTTGAGGGAATACACAAGGTCCCTGCCTCCCACGAATAGTCGCTCTTGGTATTCATCCAGCAGCATTGTATGGAGATCAAGAAATTTGAAAGGGCTATGAAATATTGCTGTTCTGTTCAGATCCAAGAGCTCTGAAATACAAAGAGATATGCACACTAAACACATGAGAAAATGCAAATACCTTTATAACATTTTTCTCATAGCTCTATTTGTATCTGTATTAAAGCTGAGTAGTTAACATTAATTTTATCATAAACATACCATCAATACATTTTAAAGTTTAAAAGTTAAAATCTTTTTCAAGTTCATGAATCAAAAAACTCCATGCCAACTAAATAAGTGGGAGAGATATTCTGTCTTTACAGAAAAAAAAGGTCATTGACAGTCTTTAATGTAGAGTGTTGCATGTAGAAGTAATTTTACAACTGCTCTAACGTATAACAAAATTCCAAATCTACATTTACTTACCCAAAGTGTGCTTATTGTAATTTCAGATGAAAACCAACTCAGAAAAATAATGCTTCTAATTGAAATTAGTTTTGAAATTCACGTGCAAAATCAAATTTTCTGAGTCTGGAAACTATCAGTGTTGCTAATACAATTAAGGCATCAATGTAATAACATTCAGTAAGGGGAGCGCTCACTGATAAAACTGGTAGAGATCTATTTTCTACCACTTGATTTGGGCTAATATTCATGTATTCGTGCTTACATCAGAAGTGTCAAACTATGTTTCTTACCTATATACTTAATTTTAAGAAGTCAGACTCTGACATGTCTCTCACGTATGCACATTAGTTTGTTCGTGTGTTGAAAGTATTGAATTGCATATGGCAATTCATTAATTAAGGTTGATAAAATAGTATATGGGAGCCTTTGGTGATGAAAGAGAAATATTGCCCATATGATTAAACCCCGAATAATGAAGAATTCCTGAAGAGGCCCCTTGGGAAATATTGACAAATTAGAAGATAACTTCCTTTTTCAAAGTTCAATGCCTAATGCATCTGACAGAGAATATGGAACCTTGGGGACTAAGACACTAAATTGCAGGTAATAATATGAAGTAGGACAAATGTATAGCATTTTGCCCACTCCTACATCTTCTACTTCTGTGAAATAAAAGATGAAATATCTTTTTTCCCTCTATTAAGAATGTATTCTTTGTACCTCTGCTCTAAAACTGTTGATGCTCAAAGTTTTGTGGAGTAGGGTTAGTTAACTTTAAATCTGTAGCTTAAAGTAAGCAACACTGTTAGAATAAATGCATCTCTTATAAAGGAAAAACTTTGAGTTATTGAATTATCTTTGAGATATTGAGTCATTTGACTATACATCTAAATTAATAATCTGAGAACAAATTTTGAGGGTTGAGGAAAAAGGGAAAAATAGGTGCTTTATTTAGAGAGGGGAAAAAAATAAGAGTTTGAGAAAGTTGAAGTTCTTAAACCCTGGAAGACAAATTTTTTTCTTGTTTAGTAATTTTGCCTAAGTAGAATCATACTGCTTTTTTTTTTTTTTTTTTTTTTTAGTTGGAGTCTAACTCTGTCCCCCAAACTGGAATGCAGTGGCCACTCCCGGCCACCGCAGCCTCGACCTGCTGGGCTCCAGCAATCCTTCCGCCTCAGCCTTCCAAGTAGCTGGAACTACAGGCGTGCGCTACCACGCCCGGCTCATTTTTATTTATTGTGGAGATGAGGTCTCATCAAGTTGCCCAGGCGGGTCTCGAACCTGCAGGCTCAGGCAATCCACTCACCTCAGCCTCCCAAGGCATGGGATTACAGGCTGAGCCACCGAGCCCGGCCATACTGTTTTCTTTACTGTGCATTTGAATACAGCAAGAAGAGGACATTTTGGGATACTCTAGCAAAGCAAAAATATAGATCAAAGCTTTCTGCCACTATTACACTTTGTCTTTATGTATGAGCATTTATGTTTCTATTAGGGCAACTTAGTGAATGCTTTCTCAGAAAAGTTTCCCCAACTACTCCAATTGTTTGCTAAAATTTCCCAATTTTATGCACAGTGAAATAATTATCTGAACATGTGCAACTAATAAAAGAATGGTTGCAAGTTAGCTAGAATGAACAGGTTTCTAGACTACAGAGCGATCTCAAGCACTTTGGTACAGGGCTTAGGAGACTAAATGCGAAATAAGAGGGTGTCACGAAATGATTCAAATATGAGGACTCTACCTTAAAGTGCTGCCACAGTGGAGTAGTCTGTGCCAATATTTTTAAAGGAGTTTGAATTGAAGTAACGGGCAAGTAATCTAAGTCAATTTTTTTTTTTTAAAGCTTGAATTGAAATAAGGGGCAGCCCGACCAGTGAAGGAGGTACTCCATAAGTGAATTTCATCTATGAATGAACTTGCTTATTTCCTGATGCGGTGATTAGTACCTAATTACCTCTGTATATGCATGGCAAGATAGATAACAGCATCTGCTTTCTTTTGTGACTTGCAAATTTCTGCTAAGTTTCGTATAATGCTAATAGTCCAAAGGTACTAGTTCCTATTTCATTGTAACTAACAATAGGAACTAATTATTGAATCACCAATCTTATCGTATTCTGCTATATTAACTTGTCTTCTGACTCATCCTCTCTCTCTCTATGGCCAAGTCTACCTTACAAGATAATACATAAAGAGGTACTCATGTTTCTGTGGATACGTGGTTTGGAGAAACTAAAGAGAAAGGACTAAAGTGTGCGTTCAACAAGTGCAAATTTGGTAAATGTTCATTTCTAATGGTCTTTATTTGTTATCTCTTTTCTACTAACCATAAATAGTCACAAAGTAACAGTTTAAATTACCAATGTCTTTTATTTTACTGATGGAGAATCCTAGGGGCCCAGAAATTTAATAACAAACATATAGACATTAACCAATATAAGGAAAAATAACTTAAATTACCTATAAAAGTGATAATTAAAATTAAATATGTGTATAGTATAGCCAAAGTTCTTGTAGTCTAAAAATCTGAAAAACCAAGTTCTAGTCTTGGCTTTGACACCTGAACAATCTTGAACAACCTCTTAACTTCTTTAGACTGCATTCTTTGCCTGCCGATCACCCTTTCACCTTTAAATTCCTTAATTATTTTACTAAATTCCATTTCTAAAGTGGAAGTGAAAATAAAATATAAACAATAAAAAAGCAAAACTAACATACAGATGCTTTTACACAGCCCTTTAAAGTACAATACCAAGCTTATATTTTTAGAAGTTCAAAAAAAAAGAGTGATGAATAAGTGTAAATATCACATGCCCCATATTTAAACTTGCCTAAAGGTAGATAATTAGAAAATTCATTTACAACTTTTCATGTATTTCAATGATAAGAGGGTCAAAGAAAAAAATTGTAATAAAAAATTTTGGAGATTATTTAACCTGATTCATTCACATTGCCTCAGAGAAAATTAATACTAAGATATGTTTGGAAACATAAAACTGGATATCATTCCACGTCTTGGGGAATAAGTCAAGAAATGTTATTTATTTTATGAAGATGCTTCTTAGAATAGTGCTTAAAGTCATTTGTTAAACTTATAAAACCCAATAAATAGAATGTAGTATTCTTTAAACACTAAGCAATATGAGAGAAGTTAAGCGCATTGACTGCATCTGCTACTCTCCATCCAGACCCCCACCATACAACAGAACAATGTCAATGGTTGAATTCTTAAGATGTTCAGTCCTGTCAGTATATATATAATTTTAGAATCACAGTGTTAACTAAAACTTACCAGTGCAATGGTGTATATTTTTCTTGCCCATTTCAAAAGTCACACTTCCTGACCTTAACTCTTAATTTTCTTTAAAACCTTAGCAGTTTTTCCTAGTCAGCCATAATTCTCTAACACCCTTGAGTTGGGAAGGGGAGAATATCCATTATAGGTAAAAATTTGTGATTTAGACATATATCTGGAATAAGTTACATGGAGCAATTCTATAATAGAAACTATTTTTTGAAAAGGGTATGCATGTTTATTATTTATGATGTATTCAATACTAACTCCATTGTTCTACTTTGATTTATTTAGTTATTTAGTTTGCCTTTTCCTAAAAGGGGATCTGAGATTACTTATATAAATATATTCAAATGAATAAACAAATATGTTTCTAGGGGAGTGAGGGTACGGGGAAAACAGTAAGATGAGAAGGCTGGAATAAATTTAACTAAAAGTCATCCTCTGATCTCTGATATGCTATTAAAATGAATCTCAAATTTGATCTTAGACTTCTTAAAATCTAAAGTAGAAGTCACTATAATACAAGAAAGAAAATCTGTATCAATTGCTTAGGAGCGTTACCTAGTATGGAGGACTAAGAGAAATTTCTCCTGAGGTAGTCTTTATAGGAATGCTGAAAAATACTATGGTGGACACTCTACTAAGAAATAAGGTGTCTCTACAGTAAATCAAAAAATTAGCTGGATGTGGTAGCATGTGCCTATAGTTCCAGCTACTTGGAAGACTAAGGCAGAAGGATCACCTGAACCCAGCAGGTCGAGGCTGAGGTGGTCAGGAACATGCCACTGCACTCCAGCCTGGGCAATGGAGTGAGACTCCAACGTAAAAAAAATTATATCCCTTAATACATGTCAACTGAACTCATATCAAAATGCATTCTACTCCAAGTGGCTTTATGGTCATGGGTGGTTATGTTAGTCAGGAAATAAATGATTGCCATGAACAAAGTTTAAAATAAAGTAATGAAATTCCAAGACAGAAATCCAGGCCTCAAGGTAACTGGGAAACTAGCAGAAGTCAAGGTAATTTATCTCAAGATTTTCTGCATCTTGCCTCTTGCTTCTCTTAATGCCACTGCTTTACTGTACTGATACTAAAGGGTTTATTCATTAGTTTGTTCATAGTCAAGTATGTCTGTTAGCCTTCAATTACATATGACCTTCCAGCTCCCACTTTACCACTACAGACAATAGTTCCTACATTTGTCAATTCAAATTCTCAAGGAAAAAAATTTAATTGGCTTAACCAGTGTCCATAGTTCATAGATTTCTGATTTACTCTGTATTGGCTGTTTTGTGATCAATAATTCATCTATGATTAAATGTGAAAGTCA